ACAGTGACATCGACTTCGTCACACGCTCTCAGATCAGACCTCACTGCCGAGTTATTCAGCCTTCGATGTGTTAGTGATGGTTAGACTCACGTGCTCAGAGTCATCAGGTAAACTCTTCTGGTTTGGTTTCCCGGGGCTGCCAGAGTATTTCCTTTGGGCCAGCAGCTTCCAGCGAGGATTCAGTGACCTGCCTCCCCTCCCCACCGGGACCTATCCTAGCACCCTAAGGGCAGAACAACGACTAGACGGCTCTTTTCCCACGTCCTCCCAGGTACTGCCCGTGTTTTTGCTAGCCTCTCTCCTCCCGCCCTCTCCATCCTTGCTCAAAAATAATTCTGTATAGGGCAGCTAGGTGGCGCAGCGGATAGAGCTCCAGCCTTGGAGTCGGGAAGACCTGAGTTCAAATGTGGCCTCAGACACTTGACACTTACTAGCTGTGTGACCCTAGGCGAGTCACTTAACCCCAATTGCCTCACCAAAAAATAACAATAATAATAATTCTGTATTATCTCAGCACTGAGAATACTCATGTCCTAGCAAGGGAAAGTGATTTCAAATGTCTTCCTCCTTCTCTGCCAGTGATTTTTCTCCTTCTGTCTTTTCTTCCCTAAATGTTTTAGCCTGTTGGCATTCTTGTCCTTCTAAATGTCTCTCAAAAAGCATATGAGTTTTGTTGTTGTACCTGGCGTAAAGAAAACCAAAGCAATCTTAAACGTTTTCCCAGGCTGCACTCATGCCATTATCTTGATCTTGGCAGCTAGGGAGGGCCCCAGTGGACAGAGCACAAGGCCTGGAGTCAGGAAGCTCTGAATTCAAATCCCGCCTCGGGCACTACTTCCCAGCCCTGTGACCCTGGACAAGTCACTTTACCTCTCTTTGCCTCAGTTTCCTCCTGTAAAGTGGGGGATAATAATAGCATCTCCTTTTCAGTATTGTGAGAATTAAATGAGATAGCAATTGTCGCAATACAGTCCCTTATACAGAGTAAACACTGTGTAAATGTTGTTGTTGTTGTTGTTGTTGTTACTATTTTCTAGCCCTAGCAATCAGGCAAGTAGGTGGCACGGTAGATAGAGCACCAGGCCTGAGTTCAAATCTAGCCTCACTTATTACTTGCTGTATGATCCTGGGCAAGTCACCTGACCCTGTTTGCCTCAGCTGCATCATTCGTAAAATGAGCTGGAGAAAAAAAAATCACCAACGTCTCCAGTATCTTTGCCAAGAAAAACCCCAAATGGAGTGATGAAGACTCAGACATGCCTGAAACAGTTGAACAAGAAGCCCTAGCTACATAAAAGCAAACATTTAACCTCTTAAAGTATATAACTTTCTTTTATTTGGTCAGTTGGTATGTTGAATGCTCCACTCACTTCTAGGTTCTTTGGAAGACATGATTCAAATTCTTCCCTTTTGTTAATGTTTCCAATAACATTTTTGCCCATTAGGTTCCGTCATGTAGTTTATTTATTATTATTATTATTATTATTAATAGTTTATTATCATAGAAGGATGCCAACCAACCATTTTTTGTTGCAATATCATATTCCTAATTTTCCCTTGATTTCTTATTAATAAAAAGAAACTGATTTTGATAGTCTTTGGAACATTAAATTTTTCCCCATCTATCCTGTAAAATGTGTTGTTTCATATTGTAATTCCAAAATTTGACTACAATATTTGATGGCGATTTAAAAAACCAACTTGGCCCCAAAGAAATGTGTTTCCACAACACAAATGGGAGGCAGTGAACTTTGGGCAGAAACTCAGCTCCATTCATACCCCCCTTCTCCAAAAGGCTGCCATGGTCCCCAGCCTTTACAGTGTCCCCTCCCTGGGTCCCATAACCATGTCCATTGGTGACAAACAGCCCTGCATAAACAAGACACAGACTGGACCAAGCATTAAGGCGGACCAAGAAAGGCGTCCTGCAGAAGGCAGGATTCAGCTGAACCTTTAAGGCAATCAGGAAGGCTAAGAGGCAGAGGTGGGGTCAGCCAGTACAGAGGCAGGAGATGGGAGATGGGCTCCCCAGGACCTGAGGCCTCCACACCAGAGCTTCTAAAAGCCAAGCTCCAGTCCCTGAGGAAGTTCATCCACCATCTTGCAACTCCTGACTTAGGATCCCACCCTGCCGATGGGTGATTCTGGTTATTGTTCAGGCTTTTCTGTCATGGCCGGCTCTCTGACGGTGGCGGGTGAAACATGAAATGACTGAGGAAACAAAGCTTCAAGCTCCAGAGCATATCGGTTTATGAAGCAAAACGCGCCAGTTGCCTGACAAATCAGGACCAGAACTCCTCAGTGTTGGCCTGGACCCCCAATCCAAGAGGAGACAGACTTTTATACATTAAAAATAACTAATCAAATAAGACCAATTAATTAAAACAACTAACCAGGATACAATATTGTTATCTGATTTCTAATTGGAGGAAAGATTGGAGACTATCCAAGTTGGGAGAGGGAGAGCGAACAGCGCAATTCCCTGAAATCAGAAAAAGAAAAGAGGTGTCCCGCTCCCCTCAAGCGCTCATTCGAAGGGACGCGGAAACAATAACTGATTAGAACGGGACCAACTTTCAGATTGCTTGAGATGGAAAACTTGTATCAGTCATTACATCTGACTGAGTTTCTGGGCAGCATAGCCGAGGTCCTTAGTTAAAGGTCTCTCAGCAGTGCACAGAGGGAGTCCAGCTTCCCACTCACACAGGGCTTTGCTCAAACAAGACAATAAAATTTTCTTCCAATTCCCACAAATAAATAAAGTTTTCTGCCACAAGACAGAAAGTAGAACAGAACCATAATTGAATAGAAAAGGAACTGAGCGAGCTCTAGAATTAAGTCACAAGATGGAATCACTGGGGTTCCCTCGATTTGCACCACTTGTCCTAATCCCCTCAATTCTCTCATGACCCCCATTTGGGATTTTCTTGGCAAAGATATTGCAGTGATTTGACATTTCCTTCTCCAGCTCATTTTTTACAGATGGAGAAACTGAGGCAAACAGTGAAGTGACTTGCCCAGGGTCATAGAGCTAGTAAGTGTCTGAGGTTGAATTTGAACTCAAGTCTTCCTGACTCTAAGCCCAACCCACTGCCCCATTTAGCTGCCTAGTAGAAGGTATGTTCGTTGAGGGCAGGGACCATCTTCTTCTAAAATGTTTGTGTCCCTTAGCACAGTGCCTGGCCACTTAATAAGGACTTGTCATTCATTCATTTATTCATTCAGCGCGACGCGTACAATGACCCCCAACAGCAGGCAGGCATTCCACTATGGAAACAGGTCAGTTGATTTCCAATAGTCCTTTGGAGCAATATGAAAAGCATTGACTCTGGAGTTTGAGAACCTGGGTGCAAATTCCACTCCTGATGTTAGTACCTTTGAGACCTTGGGTAAGTGACTCTTCCTGGGCTTTCTGGGAATAGGTAAAATGAGGGGGTCAGACTAGATGTCCTCTGGGACTCCCAATGGCTTTGTTCCATGGCCCAGGATCCACGCCATGAGCCACTTAGCTGAGCAAGGCACCATTTCTCAGTAGCTGCACGCCTACTGGCCTGTTATTCAGGCACGCTTGATGATGAGGCAGACTGTGATGCAATTCCATGGGCCCCAAATAAGTCCTTGCTCTCACCCCTCCCCAGATTTCCCCCAATGCCATCCCTGACACCCTCAGCTGCTGCCCCTTGTGACAGTTCTTCAGTGTCAGAGACTGTTCTTCACCAAAGATACTGAAGGAAGGCATTCAAGAGTTCTCATCTATAGCTCTGCACAACTTACTCTTTTTAATGTGAGAGCTGGTAACAGATTTAGATAAAGGCAAAAAAGTCATTTCTTCTTTGCATGCATCCTTTTTAATTTATATATGCATATTTATTTTTTTTGTAAATTACATATAAAAACAATGTTTAACATTCTTTTTTTTAAATTTTGAGTCTCAAATTCTCTCCTTCCCTTCCCTTCCCAGTCATTGAGAAGACAAGCAAGTTGATATAGGTTATACATGTGCAATACTGTAAAACATATTTCTGTAATAGCCGTGTTGTAAAAGAAAACAGAACAAACAAAGAAGAAAAAGGAAGTTTTTAAAAGTATCCTTCATTCTGCATTCAGACTCCAATTCTTTCTCTGGAGGTGGATAGAATGTTTCATTATGAGTCCTTTGGAACCGTCTTGGATCATTGTGTTGCTGAGAATAGCTAAGTCATTCATGGTTCTTCATTGCACAATATTGCTGCTATTGCCTATAGTGTTCTCCCGGTTTTGCTTATTTCATTTTGCATGAGCTCATGCAAATCTTTCCAAGTTTTTCTGAAAGTATCCTGCTTGTCATTGCTCATGTAATAATATTCCATCACATTCATACACTGCAACTTGTTCAACCATTCCCCTATTTATGGACATCCCCCCAATTTCCAATTCTGTGCCATCACAAAAAGAATTACTATAAATATTTTTGCACACGTGTGCCCTTTTCCTTTTTTATGATCTCTTTGGGATACAGACCTAGTATTACTATAATACAGTACCATCTATTGATAGGTTAAAGGGTATGCACAGTTTTATAGGTTTTTGGGCATAGTTTCAAATTACTTTCCAGAATGGTTGAAACAGTTCATAACTCCCCCAACAGAGCATTAATGTCTCAATTTTCCTACATTTCCTCCAACACTTATCATTTTCCTTTTCTGTTGTAGTAGACAATCTGATAGGCGTGAGGTGGTACCTCAGAGTTGCTTTAATTTGCATTTCTCTAATCAATAGTGATTTACAGCATTTTTCATATGACTACAGGTAACTTTGATTACTTCATCTGAAAACTACCTGTTTATATCCTTTGACCATTTGTCAGTTGGGGAATGACTTGTACTCTTATAAATTTGACTCAGTTCTTTATATGTTTGAGAAATGGAGCTTTTATCAAAGATACTTTTGTGTTCTTTTATTGTTTCTGTCACTCCAGAATTCATTTTGAGGCATTATTGTAAAGCTGTTTGGAGGGGAATTTGGGAGAGCTCAGAAGTGTCCCTACCTTTTTCTGCCATCTTGATTCTGCCCCAAAGTAATTTCAAGTCAAGTCAATAAGCTTTTATCCAATAAAAGCTTACTACTATGGGCCAGGTAATGTGCTAAGTAGAGAGGAGACATTGGGAAGATGGGGGTTGGGTGGGTAGAATGTCACAAAAATCACAGAATCTCAGAGTTTGGGGCATGAAGTCCATCTGATTCAATCAATACCTGAACAAAATTCTCCCCTACAAAATCCTTTCAATATTTCCAGGGATGGAGAACCACTACCCTCTGAGGAGGCTACTCCTTGACAACTCAAATTCTGTGGGCAGTTCCTAAGGGACAGGAAAGGTCCTGAAAAGGTCTATGGGAAAGTGCTTAGGACTAGCTTTACCTGGTTCTCACCTATGCTCAGGAGAAGACCCATCCCAACCAGAGGTACTAAGCACAGGTCTCATGGTTTAGGTTGACTGAAACTCTAACTGAAGAATTTAGTTCTAAGCCTGTGAAGCACATTCCTGGCACCCTTGGGGCTCAGCTATCGATGGTGATGGTGATGGTGCCTGTGAGGGCCTTGAAGCTAGGTAACCTCACAATCATTGCTAAGATGAGCCTGGGTTCCAGAATCTTGGCTTTGTTGACCTCTACTTCACTGGAATAGAAGTGTTAAGCGTAAAAAGGCACCCCTCATATCTATTGATATCTCTTTCCTCTGTAACTTCTCTTGCCTGGGTTGTGGTAGCTGGGCTGGGCTGGGGTGGGGCCAGACTTGAAGGGAGGACAGAATGCTTCAGAACCTTTTAATTCACCCATTCTCTTATCTCCTAGCCACTTCTCCTTCTCTGGATGCCTGGGCCCACCCCACTCAGCTCTCTCTCCTGAGCCCCCACTATGGCTGCCTACCAAGAAAACCTCCCCAAGTCTCTCTCCCTTTCTCTTGCAGACTGTTGGTTTGAGAAGCTGAGATGGGAACTTTGACCCCGCTTGCAGCTGAGGGAGATCCACAAGGGCAGAGAACCCTACGGTACAGTCGGCTTGCTCCAGAGACCGTCTGCGTCTGTCCTGATTTCGAGTCTTTGTCCCTCTCAGATGTCTGTCCTTCTCCGCCTCTCCTTGTGCTTATATATCCTTTTTGTGTCTGTCTTTGTCTCCTTCTCTCTCCATCTCTCCCCTCCTTCCCTCCTTCCCTCCTTTTCTTCCATCTGTTTCTATCTCATCTAACTTTTCTTTTCTTTTTTTCAGGAAGAACTGGACCCCAGGGTGGCTGAGGCAGGATTCTGGGAGGAAAGTATTCCCCATCTACTCAGAGGAGCAGCACTCTCTGGAGTGGGAGGGGGAAATAGATATCTACATCCCCACTTCCCCTCCCCACGACCTGCCTCTGTGGGCTTGGAAAGAAAACTCTGGAGATGACCCATCATGGACTCCATCCAATCCCCCATCTAGATGCGTGAAATCTCCCCGCCTTCATCTCTGCAAGGCAGCTCGCATCTTCAAGGGTGCAGGATCACGGGAGAGGCTCCCACCGTCTGGCTCTCTGCCCTCTAACCGAGAGCAGCAGGGAAGCTTCTCCAGGTCCTGTTCTTGGACCCACCAAAATCTCCAGCCAATTAGAAAGTTGGCCCCTTTGGAGGCTCTTTGTACCCCACCCCAGGCTGCATCCCCGCCCTACTGCTTAGCCCAGAGTAAATCCCTGCCCCCAAGAAGGCTGGCCCCCCTGAGGCTTCCCCACCCTCAGCCCCAGCCCACCTCTCAAGGTGGTCTAAGGACTTGTCAGAGTCCCACCAAAAGGCCACCCAACAGACTGGCTCCATTAGAAATGCATCAAAGGGGCCTTGGCCCAGCCCCACCCCCACCTTCCCACTCAAAGGCCCCCCTGAGATATTCCCCATCCCTGAATGACGTAAAAAAAATAAATTAAATTAAAACTCCTTAATACTTCCTTTTGTGTGTAGGAGAAGAGAAGGGTGTATCTGGGGCATCATCTGGTAATTAGGACACAAAATGAGAGTGATTGGGCTAAAGATAACAAGGCAATGGAGTGAGTGGAAGGGGGGCAAGCCACTTTGCCTCCTTGAGGCCTCAGTTTTCCCATATGTACATTAAGAAGGTTGGACTGAGTGGCTTCCATGATCCCTTCTCCCTGTCCTTGAATACATGAATTAATGGGTGAGTCAATCACTCATGCTGATCTCAGGAAGGTTCACCTGCTAGGGTGGGGAAGAGATTTTGTAACGTAGTTGATACAGGGCTGGCTTTGACCAGAATGCTCCTCAGCAAATGATTCTTGCCACTGAGAAGGAATCTGCGAGCCTGGGACTGACCCAGAGCTAAAGGAAATAAGTGCCTTGGGCAACACCAGCTACAGGCACCCAATCGGCCAGGGATATTTTCAGGTTTCCACGGAGGTTGAAAGTCATTTCCATCCAAGCTCTGGTCCACCTCCCAGGTCCCAGCCTCGGTCTGTGTGGACAGCCAGCGCATCCCAGCACAAAAAAAGATGGGGCTCTCCACAGTGACCTTTAGTCTCTGGGCATCTTTCTACTACTCAGTTTCTGCTGACAAGAGGGACAAAATGTCGAAGAGGATTTGAGAAAGTCCCAGATTTGCAGATCAGTGAAGTGACAAGGAGCTGTCTTCCACCCGTGGTTCAGAATTCAATTAAAAAAAAAAATAAAAGGCTTTGATGAAGTAGCTTCATAAACCTTAGAAATGTAACAACATTTATTTCTGGGGAAATGTGTTGCGATCCTACTCATTCCATATTCAGTGTTAATGTTATTCACACAATGCTTTTTCTGGAAACGGATTAGGAAAGTGTTGTTAAAATCCAGAAGGAAAAAAAAATAGGCTCAGGATGAATGGAAGGATGACTTTACAAGCCTAAAGACATTTGACCCTGAGCTGTGAGAGGGTAGTGACTCACCCACCTTGTGCAATCAGAGAGGCCCCACCTCACTTCCTCTCTCTGCAGGCCAGACTCTTGCAGCTAAAGGAATCCCATAGTCAGCAAGGTGGAGTGGGGGAGGAAACAGATACCAAAAACAGAAGGCCATGGGTCACCTGTGTGACCCTGAGCAAATCATTCTCGTCTCTGCAGGCAAAGGTCTTCATCTGCACAGTTCTCCATAATCCTATGACAGGTTCAGATCTATTTCTCCTTGTCTCTCTGTCTCTGTCTCTATCTCTCACTTTCCTCCCTCCAGCACAAGAAAAGAGATTTATTCATCAGCAACTGTAAATCAATGAAAGACTGCTCAAGAACAAGGTAGAACCAGAGGATCTCCAGGTAAGAAGGGACTTTAACATCATCCCCCAGTAAATGGCCACGAGACCCCTCTGCTTGAATACGTCTAGTGATGGGCAACCCATTCACCAGACACAATGCAGCCCATCCCATTTTCTGTCAGTTCTAATTATTAGGAAAGAAACCCTTTATATGCCAAAGACAGTTCACACACATGGTCCTACTAAGTACCTCTCCCAGCTAACTATTCCAAGTTCCTTCATGTGCTGTGAATAAGACAGTGCTTTGAGTCTGCGTCAAGTTCCATTATTTTCCTTTAGACACGTTCTAAGTGTCAATGCCCCTCTTAAAGGGTCACACTCAGACCAGACCACTGACCACTCAGTCTTAGCCTTGGAGGGCCCTCGGAGGAGATCCAAGTTTCTCCAACAAGCAGGTGCCCAGCCTCTGCTGGGAGACAACCAGGGAGCCACCATTAATCCTTCAAGTCAGTCCTCAAGATGGACCCTGGCTACCGGCTGCTGTTAACAATATCCTAGGATTGTGTGGGCTTTTTTTGGTTTTCATGGTAACTTGGCTTATTAGCCTTCTTACCCTATCCAGTCTCTTTCTCCTATGCCTGATCACGGCCTCAAGATGCAGTCACTGTGATCCTTGTGAAATCAAAGGTTTGGGGTAACTTTTTTTCTCTCCATTTCAAATGCAGTTTTAGAAAGTCCAAGAATCATTTCTATCTCCTCCCAAAATGTCTTTCCTCCATTCTAGAAAGCTTTGAAATGTTTTCTAATGGAGTAGTCAACTGCTGTTGTATAACATAACACACTACATGACTTGGTATGACATGGCATACTGCGATATGACATGCTGTGATGTGATGATGGTCATGGCATCTGCCATAACAAAAAAAATGTAACATAATGTAACATAAAATAACCCAGCTTACAACCACATACTATAACATAACCAACTTACCCACATAAAGGGTAACTTCAGAGATTAGAGAAGCAAGGAAGAAATCACCTTTCCTATCCTTGGATATGTGCACAGTAAACGACAAAATGAGAGGCAGAGAAGATCACAAAAGATAACACGGACAATTTTGGTTATGTCAAAATTGAAAAGAGTTTGTACAGACAACACCAGTGTAGCTGAAATTAGAAGAGAAACAAGGCTCTGAGGGAAAAGAAAAATCTTTGCGACAAGTTCCTCTGATGAAAGGCCCCATTTCCAAGATACATAAGGAACTGACTCGAATTTACAAGAATGAAAGCCATCCCTCAAGGGCTAAATATTTAAGATATCAATTCACTCTTTTCTAAGGAAGAAAGCCAAGCTATTAGTGGTTGCTGTTCAGCAGTTTTCAGCTATGTCCAACTGTTTATGACCCTTTGGGGAGGTTTTCTTGCCAAAGATACTGGAATGGTTTGCTATTTCTTCTTCAGCTCATTTGAGAGATGAGAAAACTGAGGCAAACAGAATTAAGCGACTTGCCCAGGTCATACAGCTACTAAGTGTCTGAGGTCACATTTGAACTTGGGTCTTCCTGACTTCAGATACTATTAATAGCCATATATTTAAAAAGCTGTAAATCATTAATAATTAGAGAAAAACAAATTAAAACAACTCTGAGGTTCTCCCTACTTCACATATTGGCAAAGTGTACCAAAAAAAGGAAAATGACCAAAAGTTGGTTGGTGGAGCTGCCATTCTGGAAAGTAGTTTAGAATTATGGCCCCTGAAGTCACTAAAAACTCTATACAGCCTCAGAGCCAGCAATGCCACTGCTAGGATTATACAAAACAAAAGAAGAAAAGGAGCCATGCATTCAAAACTGTAACAGCTTTTTTTTTTTTGTAGTTGCAAAGAACTGGGAAACTGAGGGGGTGCCCATCCATTAAGGAATAACTGAATGATTTGTGGTGTAAGAATGTAATGGAATGATATCAGGATGTAAGGTATGATGAGAAGGATGATCTGACAGAAATCTCAGAAGACCTGTGAGAACTGATGCAGAGCGAAATCTGCAGAGGCAGGATAATTTATACAGAAATAACAACATTGTAGAGACAAAACAATCCTGAAAGACTTAAAAATTTGGATTAATTTGGTGATCAGCCATGATTCCCGAGAATCGACGATAAAGCAAAGTACTCACCTTCTCGCAGAGAGCTGACACACTCAGGGTACGGAATGGGACGGGCATTTTGGACACGGCCAATTTGGGTGTTTGTTTTGTTGGGCCGTGTTTGCTAAGATGTGTCACTATCTGTATTTGCTGCTTTTTTCTTTTGTCTCTTCCAAGAGAGGAGGAAAAATAGATTTCTGTTCATGGAAATAAAATCATTTTTAAAAACAGCATAATGTAATATGAGGGGGACATGAGTATAAGCTAGCATAGCGTTGCACAACCTCGACCCTTGAGGATTCTATTTGATCTACCTCGACTTCTGCTTTGATCCAGAGCACACACGGGTTCCTATGCTACGCTGGGGTAGGATGAACCACCCCACATCATACCATCCCGTCCTCCCCTGCATAACCTCCTCAGCGTAGAACACTGTGCTGCTCTACACTCATCCTTCAAGGACATGTGATTTTTGTTGGCAGCACCCATCCTTCCACCAGGGCTGATTCATACCTTCTGCAACTTCTAGAACTCTTCCTGTAGAGTTGCTACAGCCTAGGAGATTATCTCAGGGCCACCTCAGAGAAAAGTCCCTCCTGGACCTCTGGTGACAGACAACACTGTCCAACCCTGGGCAAGGTGGAGGACTTCCCAGGGCCTCAAGGGATTCTCTAAGCTTCCGAGTTACCAAGCAGCTGCCCATCTACATCTGTGAAGGGAGTTTCCACACGAGGACGTTGCTATCTCAATGAAATCATGTGCTCAGATCCTCCCGCACACACACACTCATAATGTCAATGCTTTCTTCAATATTTCCAGGATTCCAGATTTCCACAGTGAGGACATCTTGCCAACCAAATGCTTCCCTGGCACCCAGGCGGGTCACTTTGGGGGCTCCTTTGGAGAGCCTCTCTGTCCTGAGCCAGCATGCACATACACAAGGCCCATCTCTACCCAGTGACTTTGCAGAAGGCCAGAGCCCAGCAGAGGTTCTATTCCAGTGACATAGATGTCCACAGTCCCCACACCAGGATGAGGCTCTGAAGGAGAGAAGACGAGAGAACAGACTAGAAATGTAGCCTAATAGAGCGTCATCCAATGTCACATGAAATAATAACCTTCTCTTGGGACAGGAACTGTCCCCTTAGGCCACAAGGGTCTCTCAGACTTAAAGTAGGGGACAGAGAGGACAGAAGAGGAGAAGGTGCCAAAGGGAAGAAAAGGCAGTATATGTGTCAGAACGCCTCCAGATGGAGCATTCTCCCCCACCCCCCTGTGCAGAATAAGTAGACTAATGAGACTTTGCCCATTAAATCTTTCAAGTCTGGGATACCTACAACACCTCCTCTGTTGACTCACTCTAAGGGCGATCTCCTCCAAGGCTAATCTGGACCAACATCCAGGCTGCAGAAAACCTTCCGGCCTGAACCTGACCTGAAGGCTTGTGGGACGAGAAGCCACCTTCTCGGGCCATTAGGTGTGAAGAAGCCCCCACCCCCACCCCCCGCGAGTCACTACAGTGTGGCCTATCTTTGCTGACAATCTGGTTTGCTCTCTATATCAGAGCTAAGATGACAGAAGGTGAGAGGATTCCAAGACTGTGGGGGAGGCCTCAAAGTGGACAGAAGGCCAAAAGATGAGGAGGAAAGAGATTCTCTAAATCCTTTATGAAATTGAAGAAAAATGGTCCTCAGACAACTACAAAGCAAGCTCATGAAGGATTTAGCCTTTCTGAAGCTGAATCTGTGCCAACAAAACTTGTAAAATACAACTTAGGTGTAATTTTAAAAGCCACCCATTCACTCCACAAGGTTCATTCCTTGGAAAATGTCACCTCTTCCCTGGCAAAGAGCACCTGGGATGTTTTTGCTGACTGGCAAAGCTAAGATCTTCTCCTATCTCTAAGTTACTGATGTGGACAGTTTTGATCACCCCCTTGAATGATCTTTCTGTACTCAGATCTCTCTCTCTCTCTCTCTCTCTCTCTCTCTCTCTCTCTCTCTCTCTCTCTCTCCTCTCTCTTTCCCTTCCTTTCTCCCTCCCTTCCTTTCTTCCTTTCTTTTACTTACTTTCTTTCTCCTCCTTTCCTCCCTCTCTCCCTTCCCCTTTCCTTCCTTCTTTTCTTTTTCTTTCTCTTTCTTTCTTTCTTTCTTTCTTTCTTTCTTTCTTTCTTTCTTTCTTTCTTTCTTCCTTCCTTCCTTCCTTCCTTCCTTCCTTCCTT